AAGTGTTTTTATAAAGTGAGGTAGGGAAAATACTACATATTCTTGTATTTTTGTCTATAGTTGCTGTTGGCCACTATCGGAGAAGGGCCACAGGGCCAGGCAGAAGTCTGGTCTGAGCCTTCATGTTTTTAAAATGGGGTCGGACCTCAGAGGGTGAAAGCAGGAGCTGATGCTTTCTGATTCTGACTTTACACAGTTGTAGAGACCGGCACCCACAGGTGTGATCACATAAAGGACTGATGGGTAGCTTTGTAATTTTAGTATTCAGATCCTTCTACTGGTGCGTACATTAAGAAGCCACCTCCATTATCAATAAACAAATTGATTACTCCCATCACAACAGTGCAATGGCAGCTGACACTGCAGAGTATGTCCAACATCTTCTCTTTTACTTTGTTTTCTCTTTCTCATCCAATGCTTTCTTATCTCTTCTGGACAATTTTACAAAAAAAAAGTCATCAAAGCCAACAACTTGCATTGCAGTTTCCTCTTCCAGAACGAATGATAGTCCTTTCTGTGATGCCTACTTCATTCTCTACAACACAGTGAAGAACTAGGTCCAGGAATCTTCCTTGGTCTCACTCTACTTGGATTTGCCCACCAATTCTCTTCCTGCTCTTAGGTGTGCTTTGCTTTACACCTATGTTTTACATCACTTTCTTTCTATTTCTTGATTTTTGTTTTCTGTTAAGTCATTCACGTGAAAACTGTGAGGTTTGGTCCTAAGAGTTTATTACTCCTGCTGTTAATTCCCAGCTGCAGTTATAATTATCTCCTCTGGACATCACAAGCAGTTGTTACAAAGATGACTTTAATATAGCTAACAGAGAGTGATAAAAGTAAGTGTAGAATAAGTTGTAAGGAAAGAAACCCTAAAAGCCCAACCCAAATACCTTTCTGCAAATGCTGTTAAATGATGAAAGAAAAAGTATTGTAAGACTAAAAACATGACACTCGCAGTGTTGTTTCTCTGTTCTTCTCTGAGCTGTCAGCTGCTTTTTAATGACAGTATTAAGTTCTCATCTCTCCCACTCATTTTGTAGCTACTGTAACTGCTTTCAGGCTCCTGTCTCACACTGACACACATCCGTACTTGTTAGCCAGGGAGAAACAACTCCAGTGTTTGCCAGTCTGTGCATCTCAAATACGTGGATTTATCACACCCCTCGCTGCAACTGCAGCTATCAGAGCAGTCTGTGGTCTGCTAGAGACTGACGCCAATCATCAATAGATTTTTCTGGCAGGAAACTGTAAATAAAATCTATGCTATAGCAACAGTCCCCAAAGAAATGAAAGCTTCCTCATCTCTCTGATCTTGTCCTCAATTACTCTTAATCTAGTTATTCAATCAGTACTCATAACAAATCCACTTTTTCTGTCTCTATTATTGATTAGAAGAGTTGGGGTTTTTTTTTTAACTCCAGGCTTTGATCCTGCAAGGTGCTGAGTGCCCTCAACTGCCACAGACTTAGGACCAGCTGGGGCACCACAATGTGCAGGCGTGTTCAATATCATACAGGACTGAGGCCCCGAATCATCCTTTCATATTTAATTGCTTCTTCACTTGCAGTGATCAGTGATTAAGATCAGGGATTAAAAAGTGCAAAGATTGGAGGAAGTCTTTAGGCCGATCCTGTTAGCACTGCTGAAACACATTTGTTGTTGGAGCCACTTGCGTAGAAGGGAGACATGGGGCAGCACTGCATATGGCTGCTTATGGCTTCTCAGCTCAAGTTACCAATATCTATTTACAATTAGGACTGCTTCCCCGTGAGACCAGAGCAAGGCTGGAGAGGGCTGCCTTGACAGCAGAGTGCCACAACCATTCCACACTTTCTGTAGTACCCCCACCGCCCCAAACCAGAAGCAAGTAGCAGCTCCCTTCAGGGGAACATACCCGTCTAATCTACTGACAGTGAAATAGTCCCAAACAAACCAATACTTGACTCTTAAAATCGCCTACAAACCTGACACTGAAGTGAACTTCAGCTCATTCCAGAGCTCCGTAATTCTTTTCTTGAATAAAAGGCTAAGTGACTAGCAAACTCCAACCGCATGTGGCATCACCGCTGTGCGGTATATGGATGTTACAGTAGCTCCTGTAGACATGGGTAAGATATGGCTGCACATCCCCGGAGCCTTTCTGATGTCTGGTATTGCGACAAAGAACCATCCGTACAGGAAGGTGACCTGACAGGAATAGCTTAATCTTACAGTAGTCACAGCAGTAGTACTGCTCCTTTCTTTTTTCTCTTATTTGCAGGCTGTGGAGGTATCGATCCAAAGTAATTTGCTTTTCAGTGTTTCTCGGAGTCCACTGTAAATAAAAATGACATACAAAGGGTTCAGACCGATTTAACAACTCGCCACTGACACTCATCTCTCTCAAGAGCTGCAGCTACTATCATTACTGAAATGACAACGTGGCTTCAGGAAATCTTCTGCTGAATAAATCTGGACAATACTAGAAAGGTGCTGGTAGACAAGGAGAAACACTTGGAAGATTTAACCAAGAAATGATGTTCAGTCCTATCAAAGGCATTGTTGTGCCACTCCTTGAAGTGCTGGCTGAATCTTTAGAGGGTCAGGAAATATCAGTAGACAAAATGCTTATTTTCCCCCTGATTAGTTTGCTGAGAAATTGGGATTTGTCCTTTGTCCAGATATCCACAACAGCCCATGTTCTTGTTAACACAAACACATCAGACTGTATCTGTCTATGTGAAACTGCATGTGGAGAAATTATCTAGTACTAAATAGCAGAGGGTCCGCTAGTGCAGGCACAAGCTTGCCTTCCCTGGGGTCATGCCACCATGAGAACATCAGCTTGTACTTGGTCTTGTGCTCCTCTAGAAGGAAACGAAGCTCAGTATCTACAAGCAGCATGTAAGAACTGGGGACAAAACATTCTTTATAGAGACCTGTCTATGAGCCAGTCAGAGGTTAGGCAAATCCAGACGGTGGGCATCTTCAACAGAAAATGATGCACAGAGAGTGGAGGGGGCTTTTGAGAGGCAATCAAATCCATCCCTTTGCCTGAAAGCGGCATCAGACTTACTGAAACCATTCCTGACAGATGCCTGTCCATTCATGTTGTAAAATATTTAAATGATGGAGCTTCCACAAGTCTCCTCTCCTAGTGCTTAACTAACCACATGGTTCATTTGTTTTTTCCTGAAGTCTAACTAAAATCTTCCCTGCTGAAACTTAAGTCCATTAGTACATGATCTATTGCTTGTGAACATGAGAAATAGTTTGTTACCTTCCAACTTTTCAGTTATTTTATATTACACTAAAGTTGTAAGGCAATTTTACATTGTAAAGCTTTTTTACCCTCTGGGATACCTGGAATTTTAATACAACCTTTATTCTTAAACTCTAGTATGAGTTCAGTTCACGTGCTCTGCTCATTGATAACAATATAAAGCTGAATGTGGGTAAAAAACACTCATGATGTGCGTACTCTGAATTTGGAAAAAAGAGAAGAGAAAATTCCAGGACTGGCAAAAGGATTGTCAGAAGTTTTGTTAGACCACATGCTCTCAAAGGTGATGTGCTGTGTGCTGCACACAAACCAAACTGTTCAGGAACACTACATGCGGTGTCAAGGTCTTTGCAAAACGAGCAGAGTGGAACAATGTTGTACAAAGCAGGAACACTGTCAGAACTAGAATTATCTGAAGATCAAAAATCCTGTTTCATGGGATTTTGAAGTCTTTCAAGATCTAATATTAGTTTTCATAGTACCAAAGCATAATCTTGTAAAATTACACATTAAATTGCCTGCAAATATGCATTTTCAGATCCCAAATTCCAAGTTCTCTTATTCGTCTCACCCTGTCTGACTGGAGTTTCTGCTCTGAGATTCAGAACCTATCCCATTGGAAATGGCAGCAAAGCAATGTGCTCCACGAAAGCTTTAGTGTTTTGAAAATGTTTATTTTGACAAACAAAATTGCAACCAGTTCTAATTAGAACTCTGATTAAGCAACACCTTGGTAAAACAAATGCCAAATAGCAACTAAAAATTGGATTTATGCTTTGACTAGTAACTGAAAATCATCTGCCTGCGAATATGCTTCACTTGATCTTCTTATAGGTTGCTAGTGTAATTTACCTTGGAAGATGCTGGTGAATAACAAAAGTTGGATCAAATCATCAGATCGCAGCCCTGTGCTCCTGGGATTAAGGGAACCGTTCTCCTCAACCGAGGAAAAAAAGCATATTCAGTCCATTACATGTTACTGTTCTTATTTTCCTGACAGATTAACTAGAATACTGAGATTTAAAGAGAGGGACAAAGGGGACGAATGTACTGTCACCTCCTCTGGGATGCATAAGAAATAGTAACGCTGTGGCCAAAGAGGTTAGTCTTACCCAAGAACCCGATCAATCTTAGAATTCAAGAGAAGGTTTTTATAGACTCTGTTTGCTATCCTTTCTCTGGTTTCTGGGCCACACTTCAGCAATCGAAATGCTGTCCACGATTCACTGATGAGCCAGCAAAACCCCTGAATGGTAATGAGAATCTTCCAGTGGAAACAGTCACAGCACAGTGCTGCTGCTAATTTATCACTGTGAGG